AAAATTTTGGCGGGTAAACTATTAACGCGGGAATCACGGAAAGATGTTCATCCTTCAAGGTTTCGATTCAGCTTTCATACGCTGGTGCATGAAATTTTTAACTGTTTTTCAGTGTTTGGACTATTTTTGCATAGACTAATGTACAAAGCAGTGAAAATCATTCGAGGCAATCGTTCGATGGGCTGAATTGCACAAAACGCATGATCACACCGGCTAGTCTGGTGCGCGTTAGCAATCGTTCGATGGGCTGAATTGCACAAAACGCATGATCGCACCGGCTAGTCTGGTGTGCGTTGCTATTTATTATGTCGATGGGCTGAATTGCACAAAACGCATGATCGCACCGGCTAGTCTGGTGCGCGTTGCCATTTATTTTTGTTTACTTCGATCATTTTGCTCCTTCTCTCTCTCTCTCTCTTCTTCTGTCTGAAGTGAAATTTCATACAAATCCTACGTAATTTACTGCGAGACATACTCAAATCCTGAAGTTTATTCTTTAATTTGCTTCTTTTTTTAAAAACTTGGCATGTTTTTTGAATTATTTTGTTCGATTTTAATCCGATGAAATATTGTTGTCGCTACCCCTCCCCGCTCTCCTCTTTTTCGACTTCCTGCCTTGTGTTCCTTTTTTTTTTGCATAATTTTACTCTTTTCTTTTAGTCCCGTTTATTTAGTTGTGCTTTTCACGTAAGTAATTTAATATAACATTTGGTGGTAAGGAAAGGAAAGATGGAATTTATGTTGCAGTTGTATGAGAAATGCTTTCCAGTTTCGGGAAAGGCTTTAAAAAATTAGCAGAAGAATTTTGTGAGCACAGTACGATCATTTATTTTGTGTACTTTGTGTGATTGCGAAGAGAAGAAATGCTGCCTTGAAGATGGGTGATAAATGAGAACATGCAGCACCATAAATTTTTATCAAATTAGGCCTGACTTTGTGTACCGGCGAAAACAGGACCAAAGCAGGAAAGCGTGAAAGATTGAGAGTGGTGGTGACGATAAGTACCTTGTCTCTTTTTGAGATCTCTCTTTTTTCATTTTATTTGGTTTAATTTCAGCGGATATTTATGAGAAGTTTTATATGAAGTGCTAAAGATTTTACGCCTGTTTTATTTGTATGCGGGTC